TCGAATAAAAACAGAGTAAAAGGAAAAGAGAAATCATCCACTGTTGAAGTACTTTACGAGATCCTCCTCCAAACAGAAAAAGGACTGAGTATCCATGGGAATCTTAGCACGTTAGGGAGGCCTTTCTCCCTTCCTCTCATCCGCTCTCCCCCGCTGCACCCATGGACCAATGCAATTGTTTATTTTCTCCTATTGAGGCTGCTCCATTCACTGGCTCTCACATTTACTCTGCTCAATTGGAGTGAGACAGCACTTATTCGAGGAGAGGAATGTAGCGTTCCACTGACAGAGCAGCAAGAATGCAGGAGAAATAATTAAAACTTTTCCATGGAAAAGGTACAGCTGAGTGTGAGGGAGAACAACGTCGAACCAAACAATGAGCACTGACAGGATTTTCTGCCGTGATGAGTATATCCACACATCACCTTGACACTACAAAGTGAAGGAGTGTTTGAATAACGTACAATGCTAGAAAGTGGAGCAGGGATCCCATAAGAAGGTCATTCACTGCGCTTTCTGAACTGAAACTCTCCGCAGAACAATGACACGTTCTCCAGGCTCCTATAAGATGTGGCCAGCCTCCCTTTTTCTGGCTCTAACACAACAGCAACGAGCCAGACCAGGGACTTCGTTTCACCTTTGGTCTGCCCTGTCGTGGTCGAGGTAGTCGTGATGACAGTTTCTTTTCCTGTAACAAGGGTCCACTCAAATTCCAAAATCAAACTCTAAAGTCCATTTATTTGACAAAAGTGATTTTCAGTGTTGCTCATGGTCGTTTTTTGTGGTTATGCGTGGAAACATCTGTGCACAATGTACACACATCTCTTTAGTGTCTGCTTGGTTTTATGACTAATATCCTCTGCTGACTCTGTTGGTATTCAGGCGTAACCGAGTATATCTCTGGTTCGCGAGATACATGTTTTCGTTTTTGTTCTTCTTCTTTTTTTTGGTTTTGAGGTTTTGGTCATATACATTTCCTTGGCACTCTGAGGGTTTCACACAAATGTGTTTACAGTTGTACAATGAAGAACTTCTATATCGAAGTTCAGACATGTAGGTCAGCTGCTTCCTAAAATTCAACAGTATAATATGCTGTCACACAATTACAAATGTGTGCACTTATGCAGTCACATTGTCTGAACACAGCATAACTGAAATCATGATCACTATACTGTTTAATGAAAGATTTGGACTTAAATAGTAAGAGTCGTGCAGGCAGGTGTAAGCAGGTTAAAATCCGCAAAAACCTGCACAAACAAAGATGAATGCACCGCTGAATTTTAAGTAATGGAAAGCTTACTTTCTCTATAAAAAAAAATCTCACAGAGGTGAGATCAGCAGTTCAAATATCAAGTCTGACAGGAAAAAGCATAGAAACAAGAACCAAACAGTGTATATCCTGTCTGTTTCAGCAGCGCTGCTTTGAAGTAGATCAGTGGCATTTTCTCAGGAATCACAGCCCCTGACATTAAGTGGGAGGTCACCACATACAGTATCAAACTGCCCCCTACTGGTGTGGCACATCAATACACAATTTCTTTGATAAAGGAAAAAGAAAATGCGCTCATGTAAAGCAATTTAAAGATGAAATCTGTCCTTTTTTATGAATATAGGCACCATCGTATAACAATCTAGAGTAGAAAGTTGCATAAATATGTATAAGACTTCAAAGTTTTTCAGAAGGAAAACATTTGTAGGAGTTCTATACTTTAAATGCAAAAGTTTTGCACTCATACAATCTGCTGTACCCATAATAATGCACTGTAATATTGGAACATCGCGTTATTGTATAGCAAGTTTGATTAATGTGTGTCAAGTTTTTTTGTTTGTTTGTTTTTGGCAGACGGAGAGACGGAGAGACGGAGAGACGGAGACGCAGCACAGTAAAGTGAGAGGAAGAGAGCTGAAATAGGATTCTCTGTGGTTAGCACTTGTAATATCAAGCAGCTGCATGCTGACATGGTTAGATTAACCACTCTGCCACAATACAACGGCTGCACTACAGAGCCTCTGTGTGATCTTCCAGAATGGACGGATACACAACTCCTGTAGACTATTTGTACATTTCTGAGAACTACACTGACAATTTTTCGCTTTATGATCTCCAGGAAGAGTGTGAACAAACCCTTAATGGCTCAGAGTATTTTTTGCCTACAATTTATTTCCTGATATTTTTCACAGGATTTGTGGGCAACCTCCTTGTGATCCTAGTGGTGGGAAACAAGAAGAGAGGTGGTCGTCTCGTGGATACCTTTGTTGTCAACTTGGCCCTGGCTGACCTCGTCTTTGTCCTGACGCTGCCACTGTGGGCCATTTCTGCAATGAAGAAAAATTACTGGAACTTTGGGCAATTTAGCAACTTTCTCTGCAAGATGAGCAGCTACATAATTGCTGTGAACCGCTTCTCCAATATCTTCTTCCTTACCTGCATGAGTGTTGATCGCTACCTGGCTGTTGTGAAGCTGATGGATTCGAGGTACCTCAGGAGTAGTTTGTGCATTCGTGCCACTTGTCTTGCAGTGTGGGCAAGCTCCTTGGTGCTTGGCATCCCATCTCTGGTGTACCGGAAAGTAGAGGAGAAAGATGTCAATTTCTGTACAGAAGATCAAAGTTCACCTTTTTTTCTTGGAATAAGCCTGGTCATGGCCTTACTCACCTTTATCTTCCCAGTGTTTATCATTATGCTCTGCTATGGCACCATCATCATGCACCTCAACAAGCACTGCGCTGCTGCAGGAAATCCTCGTGCTGAAGCGCGCCGCAAGCACTCCCTGAAGATGGTCCTCTGCATCATAGTGGCCTTTGTGGTGTCCTGGCTCCCCTACAATGTTTTTAAATCCATCACAGTTATTTTACGTCTCGCAGACGTTGAAACCAACTGTGAAGTTAACTCACAACTTAAAAACGGGCTCATCATCTCCTGCTGCCTGGCATTCCTCAACAGCTGCGTGAATCCAGCCATTTACTTTTTCTTGGACCATCACTTCAGACGACGTGCTGAGATGATGTACAAAACCTGCTTGGGAAAGTCAAAGATGCTGCAGAGCTTCAACTCTTCAGCTTCATTCACCAACGGCTACACTTCAGAGAGCAATGGAACAACTGGTGGGAGAAGTCAAACTCAAATGGTTTAGTAGGAGGAAGATCGATATGGTGAACTCTGGAGGTGTTAAAGTAATAATGTTACTGCCACCCTTAAGATCAATTTAACATCTTGTTTGTGCATCATTATATGTTTTGTTTTTTGATTTTTATGATACTATACTTTCAAATTTGTTTTTGGCCTTTTATTGTATTTAACATATCAAGCATGCATATATTACTTGGAAAAGTATGATATGGATTTTTCTTAAATTGCAATTTTCGCATAATATCTGCTTTGTATGAAATGTATTAATGTTGTAAATATTTAGCATTAACAGACAATATCCTACAGTTGCATTAATTTAGAAATGTAAATAACATTTAACATTTGTAGCTGAACAGATCATTTGGAAAAGTGGAAAATGAAAATCAAAAAATATTCTGTGTCTTCTGTGTATCATTTTTATCACTATTATAATTATTTTCTATATTTGCATAATATGGTTGCAGTTAATAAATAAATTCTGAACAAAAATGTTGTGGGACTTAAAACTGAATCCTCTTTAATAAAGCCTCAGATTTCTGTGATGAATTGATACTATGACTAAAAATCTGCTAAAAACAGTAGTTAAATTTAGTTACAGTTACACTTAATTACAGTAGTTACAGTAGTTATGGTTAATAGCGCTAAATGACATAATTTATTATTTTGGTTTAATTTAAATATAAAATTAAACCAAAATAAAATCAAATTAAAATATAATGATCTGCAGATGTATTTTGTAACTTAATTAAAACTCAACAAAAAATTTGTCATAAACATAAAAGGCTGCACACTGAAAACTTTTATTAAAAAAACTCTCCCCAGAGTTTTATTTAATTTTCACAGTTAATTACATAACACTAAAAATAACAATAATAACTAATATAAGTCACAGCGGTACAATTTCAGTTGAGCCAGTTCACTAATGAAGAGTAGATAAATAAGACATGTCTGTGAAGGTTCTGAGAGATGAGTTCACTGTAGAGTAAAAATTTGTCTTGTCCTTACAGAGGAAGTGTGTGTTTTCACACATTATTTCTCACACGTTTATTAAAGCTGGCTTTGTTTTGGTTTGGGGGTTTTTTAACCTACAATGATAACGCATATTTTGGCACAAAGAAATTACACAACTGCATTAAAATTTGAACAAACAATACTTCTCTAATTGCAGCAGAGCAGCATAGTTCTGCTAGGTGTGAAGCTTAGGGTCTTACAAGGGACCCAACTTCCTTGTCTTGTTATGTTATACTTTGTCTTTTAACTCTACCTAAACAGTTTTATCATTTTAGTACTGATATGAATCAATATCTTCTTTTTCGAGGAGCCCAAATAGGTGATAATATATAAAATAAATTTAAAAAAAACAGAAGTGATGTGGGATTCTCGCTAAAATATGAAGTATAGGGTCAGTGATCTCCATGTGAACTGCAACAGAAACCGAACAGAGATGAGAAGGTGAACATGAGAAAAAAGTGCGCTGACACATATAAGGAGGCACTGAGCTGGCAACCCGAGGTCAACCAACACAGAAAATTGCAACAGGAAGCAACAGTTTGGTTTTGTTGAGTGAGTGGGGGTTGCTTTTTCCTTTTTCTTATTTTTTTCAAATTTTCTTTTACTTATTTATGTTCATGTGTGGTGGAGAGGTCAGGTTATCTGTAACACAAATGTTTAAAAGTTGCATATTACATATTACAATCGTTTTACATTTACATTTGCATTGTATCCCCTCACCCACCCACACACACACACACACACATGCATACATATACACACAAACGCACACACACACACACAAACGCACACACACAAACACACACACACACCCTTTTGACCCCAACTCAGACATAAAGTGCCCCAAATGCAGTTTCTCAGAAGTCAAATGCATTCACATGATGGCAAAGGGGACGTCAGGTGTGTGAAAGTTCAAATGTTCATGCTTGCCCACTTGTTTTTCAGTTGTATGAGTGATTTGAATCATGTGAAAAAACAGACTCAGTGCTGGCTGTGAGAATAGGGAAGTCACGAATTCCCCTTTCCTGCTTTTAGATATATCTTACCAGCTTTGGTTATAATGCTGGCACAAATATTTTACCTGCTGTTTCTGGCATATATAAATCCCAGCTGTTATACAGCTGTATCTTGTGTGTGGAGCGCACATGCACACACTTGAGAAACATTAGTCTATTCTATTCAAATATATAGACACAGTGGACATGTATGTTGCCTGATATAGATAATGGTCTTTACTAAAAAATAGGTGTATATATACTGTGAGTGAATCATGTTTAGGTGGTTTGCGATCTAAAAACAGTCAAAATCCAAACCCTTTACGTTAACATGCAGTTATTTCTGTGTTTTTTGGTTTGGGTTTTTTTGCCAAAGTCATTTCAGTTAAACTTGTTTTTGCATTTATTGCACAGGTTGCTTTGATGAAATGTTTGCAGATAATCACAGACGATGTGCAAAGAGGGAACCAGAGGTGCCAAGTGCTGCAGCTCTCGGGCTCAACGAACAGCTCTGGGACACTTAGTCATAATATTTTTCTTAACTGACTAAATGTGAAATGTTTCACAAAGATGACATGTGTTCTTGAAAATATATAATGATTCATTCCCTTTTTTGTTGTCTTATTTTTAAAGATGGCATGGGTCGTGTGGGTAACAGGAGATGCTTCTCACACTTCGCCTATGAAGTCAGCATACAAATGCTAAAGCATGCTAATGATGGAAAAATGTTTTCTTCAAAGATTAAACTTTATTTGCAAATAATTTTTTCTTAAATGCAATTAATTCAGTGCAGCCCATGTTGTTGTTAATGCTAAAAGTCACGTGGACTTAACCTGTGAGGTCAATTCTAACTAAATGCTATTTTCACACAGCCAGATTTTATCTCTAACCCAAAACTAAAATACATTTAAAATACGAAATGTTATCAGATTATTTTGTCTACGCTTCAGTTAAAAGCTGTGAACATTTTGCAATGTATCACTTTTATATGACACAACTATAAAAGAAAATCATAAAATAACTTTTACAGGCAATGTCTGCTACCTGATATCTACCCCCAACTGATTTAATTCTGACACTTCTACATTCACAGCAGAAAATCTATGGAAGAAATGCAAATGTTAAAGCTCAAACTCTTCGGGTAAGGAAATGACTTAGTCGTCATTCTGCCAGTCAAGCACACGCAAATTGAAAGGTGAGACCTTGGCACTTGGTTTTTATCAAACCTTTCTTACGTTTGAACTGCCAGTTTCTCTTTCTAGTGTTGGCGTGACTATGAACTTGCAGTGTTCTCATAGCATTATTGCAGTTCTTTCCCCTGCACTTGTTACAAAACCCCTATGGGCTAAAACAGTCGTGCCCTATGCCGTGTGAACGTTTCTGTTCGTTTTTAAAATTAAAAGTAAGTTTATTCTTGAGCCGTTAAGTCATTTTAAGAAAAGAAAATATAATAATAAAACAGTGGTGTTGTATTTTAATGCTGACATCAAAGCTAACTAGAACTATTGTGGCTGTTGGTCCGTGAGTGTAATCTTCAAAATATTTTTGGTTAATGTTTCAGTCTTCACAAAAAGGCCATTTATGTAACTTCTGCAAGTATCAGATTGATTGATTACTCAACACAACTTTCTACTTATTCTTTCAATTATGCTGGATTTACACTTAATATTAGTTTTTATTTTTACTTTATTTTTCCTGTAGTTGTCCCTTGTTTTGGCTTGGATCATAGTTTCTTTAAAGAGTTTTAATGAAAGAGGTTTCAAGGCAAAAACGGCAAATAAATGCATTTCATTCAAATATTAATGTTACTAATTGCAAAAACAAATATAAAATGAGTATGAACGTAAGTACATGCACAGTAGTGTCACAGTAGCCATCACTTTTTTTTTCTTTCTTTTTTTGTTTTTGCCCCACTTCAAGCAGTACTGCAAAATAACGGTGAGCAGCTAAAAAATGTTTACACCCCCTTTCGACCACAAACACATACAACATTTGCAATGAGATCATGCCAGCATTGTAAGCCTCAGATGAGACGACTGGCTGTGGTTTTTATAATCTCATAAACGAAGCCTGCGTGAGCAACATTTGATAAACAAGGCGTCTCAATAAACACTGAAAGATTTAAAATCATGCACCTGCACAGATATGCCTTTGAGACTTTCCTGTAAGGAACCCTGATTAAGATTTAGCAACTTTCTTTCCTTTGCTAACAGGAATAGATCATTTGGCTTGTACTGAAAGTTTTCATAATAATTCTACATGAACTGTGTTTCTGAATAATGTGTATACTATGTTTTTAAAGATAGCTGCTGTTAGAATAAAAAAAGAAAAGAGATGTTTCAGATTTTTTCTGTCTACCTGAAAAATGAAACAACACCTCAACTGATGTGGTTACATGTTGTTGATTACAAGAAGCAAGGAAGTGCTGAGGAAAAAAGAAAAAAAAAGACAGACAGACGTTGTTTACTATTAAAAACTGGCTATATCCTCTTTCAATAACACATCCAGATGAAAACATCATCTGCTTTACACTGACTTACAACTCAGGATTTTATTATGATTATGTCACTCAGTGTTCAGGGCACATAATGGCTTGATGTTTGGGATTAAAACCACCTGCAAAATCTGAACAAAAACTTTTAAAAAAACTATAAAAAATCGACTGGTTACATCATTTAATATTCAGAATTATGTTATTTAGCAGCGCAGTGGTTAGCACTGTCACCACGAAGCAAGAAGGTCCTGGTTTTGAAACCACTCTCTTGTGTAGTTTGCATGTTCTTCCCACGTCTGAGTGGGTGCTCTGTTGAAACTCCAGCTTCTTCACAATACAAAGACACACACGTTAGTTTACCTGATGATTCTAAACTGGCTACAGGTGTGAGTGTCTCTGTGCAATCACAATAGACTGATGGCCTGTCCAGCATGTACTGCCTCTTGATCTGTGACACTGATGACCCTGAATTGAAAATGTAGTGGATATTCAGCTGGAGATTTTTATTGTGGTTGTCCTAAACATTTATTAGACTTACCGGAAAATTGTCTTCTTCGAATCATTCCTTTTTTTAAATAAACCTCATTTGTTGGCCTTTGTTAGTTTTGAAACCTGCTACGCAGGCATAATATTTTCTCCTACACGGAG